CCTATTAAATGCATACCCTAAAAAAACTTCAAACTTTAATTATTTGCTACCCGGCATGTTTAGAACAGATGTTTACATGCATTTATTGACACATACATATTTCATTGCAGGTATCAAGACGTTACAAACATTTTGATTGGCTACACGAACGTTTAGTGGAAAAGTTTTGTCTCATTCCCATTCCACCGCTGCCAGACAAGCAAATCTCAGGCCGATATGAAGAACAATTCGTGGAACATCGACGTGTGCAATTGCAAGAGTTTGTCGACTGGGTGTGTCGTCATCCTGTGCTTTCACAATGCGAAGTGTGGCATCATTTTCTGACCTGCAACGATGATAAGATGTGGAAATCGGGCAAAAGGAAAGCCGAACGTGACACATATGTCGGTGTCACCTATTGTTGGGCTATATCGCCACCCGAGAAGACACTGTTGCCATCGCTTGTTGATGCACAAATGGAGAGTTGTTCGCAGTTTGTACATGCGATGGATATTTCAGTACGTAATCTTTTGGCATTGTCTAATGACACTGCGAAACGTTATCAAACACAATGTAAAAAGGAATTCCAACGTATCGGCGATGGTATGTCAGATCTGGCAAAGGCATTGAATATTGACGAACGACGCGCACCATCAGCAACAACTGCACTATCGGAGAGTGTTGGACGTGTTGGCGGCATTTTCATAGGCGTGGGACAATTGTTTGGCGATCAGCCAAAATTGGACTGGATACCATTTTCGGATCGTTTGCATATATACAGGTAACATTTCAAAAAAAATTTAGGACAGTCATTAGTATGTCTTAACTTATTAAAACTTGAAAAATTATTGGAAAAGGTAGTGTTTTTATAATGTCCGTAGCGTATACTTTGAATACACACGTTCCTAGAAATTCGGATTCAGTGATCGCAGTCCAGAAAAAAACGGACTACGATGAATTCTGTGATAGCCACCATTATTTGGCTACACAACGGTCATAGTTAAGTTGAAATCTAAACCACTTATGCCTGAGGGTAATAATAATAAACAATGCAACAACAACTACTAAAGTGTTTAAACTATTTCACAGTTGCATATCTAACTTATCTAACGTCATGAACTTATTTTCTGCAACTGCTTCATTCGCTTATCGATGGTTTTTTTATACTTATTATGTATACATATAAGTAGAGTCATATCCTCATATTGATAAATACATGTATAATACTAAGTATATAAGTACATACATCTGTACAATGTATGCATACAAGATTTTAAATGTTACATTTTATCAACGCTTTCATTCGTGCACTTGTTTTCTTGTATTTCAGAGGTGTCCTGAATAGTTTCCCGGACATTCTTTCTACACATAAAGGGGCAATGCAAAAACGCAAAGAATGCGAACGTTTGACTGCTGAACAAAAGATGAGTAATGCTCAGATGACCGATGTAAATCGTCGTACCGATGTTATTTCCTATGCTGTAATGGCTGAAATGTCGCATTTTAAACAAGAGCGTGATACACATTTGAAACAGGCGCTAAAATCATTTATTGAGGAACAAATTAAATTTTATTCAAATGTAGTTAATAGACTTCAAGAAGCTTATCGTCAATTTGACTAACTTTGCTAATTGCTCTAATAGCTGATCCCTGAGCTTTGAACGCTGCTGCTCGTCGCTGCTTTGTACTGCACATTAGTGAGTGTTTGTGTGAGATCACGAAAAACAAAAAAAAAACAAAAAACATTAGCAAACCCAACAGCACAACAAAGTTTTATCCGAAACATGCTTCATATCTTCATTAAAAAAATCTTCTAATTGCAGCAGCGAAAACTTAAGTACCCAAGCTGCAAATTGGCAAATGTTTCGTGCTATTTAATGTGAATAATCTGCAACTATGCTGATGTACTAACTATACATACATATGTAGTAATGTGACACTATTATGACAAATGCTAAGAATAATATACAGATTACATTGTTTTATTTCAAGATTATGAATGTGAAAGCTTTAAAACAATTTTACAAAAACAGATAAAGGTGTGATTATGTAAGAAATGCTTATATGCATAATAGTAGTGCAGATATAATTTACTAACATATGTATGCTCATTTGCTATAATAGTGTCATAATCCAAAAAATCAAAAACTATAGGAAAAAGACTTTAAAGAATGAAGTTTACATACGCTCCCATAGTAAAAATGAAGAAGAGGTGGCGGTAATTTCTGCATCCTTACGTTTTTTGTTTTATGTTTAATATACTCTTGCAGCAAATGAGCGATATATCTACATATCGTCACCTGAAATGCAGAAAGGTGTAACAACATCGTGAATGTAATGGAACAAGTAGTGGCTAATATTTTATTTTTTTCATAAAATGATGTGGGTAGTTGTAATTCTATGAAACCCATCATGTAAATCAAAAAGTGAATTTTGAATTTTTTATTAGTTATGACTTTGCATTTCAACGATGATATTTGTTACGTCTTTTTGCATTTCAGGTGACAATATACATATATAGTGATATAATTTGTTTCATGCATTTACCACTTGGGTACTTCGGTTTTTGAATGGCTCAATAAACTGTATTTGTTTCATTTATAGTATTTTATACATATATGTATTGTGAATATTATCAAATTTGAGCGTAATAAAGTTAAATACTACATACATACATATATTTTATATGCAAATATACAAGTTTACACTAAAATAAAGAAAATAAATGTAATAACTCGCCTTTCAGAAAATGCGTACAAATATCTTTTATTTTTAATATCTTGAAAATTCCGCTATTACTTTGACTTAACAGCAATAAAACACGCCCCAATTTTTTCTCGCTCGCGGTTGTGCGAAACTACCCGTTTAATATTTCTTTGCCGATTTTCGGCTGATGAGAGAGAGTAATTTGTGTTTCTCACAAGTCGGAGATTGTCACTTCCACGGTGCATTAAAAAAGGTATGATTGACAACACAGGTAGGCTCTCTTTTAAGGTACTATTATGCCTAAAATATAAAAAAGCGATTTAAAACTCATAATTCTTTTTTCATTTTGACTATAGGATGGTTCTTCTGAGAGCGAGCAATGTCAAATTCAATCACACTTTGTTGAATATATTTTGGTCAGGACTTTTCGAAATATTTTGCATATAGTAACCCAGATAATAATTTAGGTAGGCCTTCTTAAGTGAAGCCATTCTAAGAGGCCTACTCAAGAAGGGTTGAAAAAAGTGCTTCCTTTCATGCCTTCTAGAAGGGCTTATACATTTACAATTTACGCGAATGCATAAATCAATTATATAAATAGGCAATCATGTTTCCTTTACACCCCT